TTGTGTAATTTCGACAACAATTTATCCATCTCCCCTCTCCCTCTTCCTCTCTCTCTGTCTCTCCCCTCTCTCTCTCTCTCTCTCTCTCTCTCTCTCTCTATATATATATATATATATATATATATATATATATATATATAAATTAATATAAATATAAAAGTGAACATTGACGTTAACACTCAGGGGCGACAGGCTGTTTCATGCTAGACGCTATCGTCAGGCATGACGATTGCGTCTAGCATGAAACAGCCTGTCGCCTGTGAGTGTTATTTTAATGTTCACTTTTATATTTATATTTACATACGCCCTATCTCCAATATTGAGCACTTTATCACATAAATATAGCACACTTTAAAATTATATTTCTGTATATATATATATATATATATATATATATATATATATTTATATATATATATATATCGTTTAATACAAGGACAAGGAAAATAACCCATCAATTACAAACTGGCGATGACCAATATAGTTTATCAATTTCACTGCCCAGTACAAAACTGCGTTATTGTCATAGATTCATTACCTATATAGGGCATGCGACCACCTCCTTGAGAAGACGCCTTACATGTCCCATAGCAAAGCTGTGTCCTTTGTAAATTAAATTTCCAAAAATATTTTTAAAGACATCAAACAGCTCTCCTCCACGATCAACCTCATCTTTTTAACAATGGTAATAGCGTGCTGAAAGTCCTTTAAAAATAGAATGTCATCCACTCGAATTTTAGCCCTGCCCAACACACGATGGCTCGGAATTAACTATCCTACTACAATTCTCCTTGTCCGTCATATTTAACAAAAATGTTTAAAATAACGGTTACTGCCTAAATATACATATATATAATATTAAAGAAGGGTCACTGCTATATATATATATATATATATATATATATATATATATATCTTGAAGGTCGCCCTATCGGGCGGTATTTAAGCTAGCTCCTGTGGAGGGCTCTTGATTGGGTTTCATCGCATAGGTAGGGAGGAGTAGATTTTATGGGAAACAATGAACTACAGAAGAACTAAAAATTGATCGTTTACCTTTTAAAAGTTCAGCGATAATTCTTATGCCGCCGCTTAATTTAAAGACAGTTTGATGTACGTAGGTCCTTACTATCCATACAAACAGTCATATTTATTTCATGGGTGACTTTCGCTCGTTTGCGCAATTAGTTTCGATTATTCCAAAATTTATTTCCACGTTATAAAAATTGTTTTCGTACAAAAAAACTTGGTTGCAAAAAATCACGTAAAAAAATAGCTGAAAACAATCGCAGTAATGAAAACTTGTGACTCGAAAATTCCAGGATTGGGGGTCTGGATCCGCTCTGGAATGTTTTTAATTTGCTCACGGAGTCGGTTTGGTTCTAAAATGATATGATATGTTGGACTACGGCCTCTTTTGAAAAGGTGTGACCCATTGACGCACTGACATTCGCATTTATCTTATATATATATATATATATATATATATATATATATATAACATGATAGTAACGAATGATTGTCCCATATGCTTCTTATAATATGTAGACATAATAGGCCGGAGAAAGAAATTTAAGAGTAAAAAAACAATAATATTAATAGTATTGATAATAAAACTACTAATATTTATTGTACATTAACAGGTTGACATATAGCTTTCACATTCCTGGGTCGCCCAGGAAAGTCACTGAGAATCTGTTCCACCACTTACAAATATTTTGACAGGCATTCGCAAAGGTTAAGTTCTTTACCCACCGCTCGTTGTTAGCCTGCCGTTCATAGTGACTTTACTGAGCGATCCAGGAATATGAAAGTTATATAATCAGCCCATTTCAGGAAATAAACATTGAAGAACGTCTACACAAATGTTATCGAACCAGTCTTCAGAAGCGTAGAAATTCAAACCAATATCACCTGAAGAAGGCCGGAGCGTACAATGACTGAAACGTTGTAAATGTGATAGTAACGACGAAGTCTGCGCAATGTAAGAGAATTTCAATAGGATTTCAAAGACCGAATATCACATGATAAAATTGACTAGAACATGGTGTCCCAGATAAAGGTTCTGAAATATGTGCAGATTTTCTTAACGACATTCAAGGTTTGCCGACATATTGGAATTAAAAGATGCTACATTTTAATTTGTTGTATTATTTTTAGTAATCCATTCTTTATTTTCTGCAAACAATATTTTTATAAATTTCAATCTATATGAAAAGCATTTTGACGTGATGTAATGGTTACCAACCTTGTCTCGCGAGATCTAATTACGACTGAATTGTCAGTTCAATCCTCACTGGGTGCTCCATACGTTCGGCCTTGTGCTACATCCAAACTAAACTTAGAAAACAGAGGACACTTCTATGTGGTGTAATGGTTAGCAAGCTTGTCTCGCTAGATCTATTACGCTTAAATAGTGAGTCTGATCCTCACTAGGTGCTCCATTTTTTAGGCCTTGTGCCACATTTAAAATGAAAATCACCATATGAAATGCAAATTATCAAAATCCAGTATAATTATTTATGAATTATCAATTATATACAATGAGGAAAATATGTATCAACATATGTAACAACCAGACATAGCGCAGGACACCAAATACGATCCCTACTTGGTCGTGACAGCGCAAAAAGAAAGGATAACAGATGGAGCATATGGTTGGTAATGGCAGAAAGGAAATAAAAGTGTTTTACAAGATAACAGTCTGCCGGACAAATAGCGCACAAGGAGACCAAATACAATCCCTACTTGGTCGTGACAGCGAAAAAAGAATGGATAACAGATGGAGCATATGGTTGGTAATGGAAATAAAAAGTGTTTTACAAGATAACAGTCTGCCGGACAAATAGCGCAAAGGACACCAAATACAATCCCTACTTGGTCTTGACAGCATAAAAAAAAAGGATAACAGATGGAGCATATGGTTTAATGGCAGAAAGGAAATAAAAAGTGTTTTACAAGATAACAGTCTGCCGGACAAATAGCGCACAAGGAGACCAAATACAATCCCTACTTGGTCGTGACAGCGCAAAAAGAAAGGATAACAGATGGAGCATATGGTTGGTAATGGCAGAAAGGAAATAAAAGTGTTTTACAAGATAACAGTCTGCCGGACAAATAGCGCACAAGGACACCAAATACAATCCCTACTTGGTCGTGACAGCGCAAAAAGAAAGGATAACAGATGGGGCATATGGTTGGTAATGGCAGAAAGGAAATAAAAGTGTTTTACAAGATAACAGTCTGCCGAACAAATAGCGCACAAGGACACCAAATACAATCCCTACTTGGTCGTGACAGCGCAAAAAGAAAGGATAACAGATGGAGCATATGGTTGGTAATGGGAAAAAGGAAATAAAAGTGTTTTACAAGATAACAGTCTGCCGGACAAATAGCGCACAAGGACACCAAATACAATCCTTACATAATGAACGAGTATAGTCAATGAAGACCGGGAGGGGGGGTGTTGGCAAAGTGGTCTGATTGAAGCACTTGCGGAACAAGCCCTAGCTCACCGATGCGAACTTCGATCCAGACCACATGAAGAACACATCGTCTATGATGGCCCTTTATTTTGACGTGACCAACGATGATCATGTCATTAGGCTTTACTGCTTTCTACAAGGCTTCTTCCTACAATAACAACAACGACATCGCATTGCGTCATATGGTGGACAGAACCATGACCTCCTCTCATCATCATCTTGCGGCCTCAGTCGAGATTGAACTCACTACACCTTTCCAGTATTCCTTATCTGTCAGAGCTAATACTTTGATTGGTGTAGTTCATAATCTTGTCAAATAGCTGAATTCTTGATGCTTCGCTAGGGCTATCAAGGGTGTTTTTTATCGTGACACCATCACTAAATGGATTGCCAACCAAGGCTCAGAGAGACTCCATTCACCCTCCGCAGGTTTTGAATTCAGAGTTTTCCTTCTCCTAGACCAGTTGCCATCCAAGGCTATAGAACCCAGTCTGTCCTGCTATTTACCCATAGCTGGAGGGAGAAGAAAGAGGATTCACACTTTTCCCAAGGGTGTTAGTACGAAAGTGAATGTAATAGATTCGACTGGAATTCGAACTCGGCTTTCCGATTCCTCAATCCAAGCCGCTATCCATTACTCCACCGTGCCTCCTCTTTACTCCACCGTGCCTCCTCTTCCACCTCCTCCTCCTGTTTTCTTCTTCTCCTCCTTGTTTACTTACTATGTTACATAATCTGAGTTGTATATATTTACATTTATCATGATGATATTTTACAAGGTATTATTTGTTTTCCGGTTTCAATTTTTAAGTGACGTAGTAAAAATTTGGTTTTGTGTCTGCAATTTTTAGATAAGTTCATACAGACATGAAAACAGATTTTAAACTTTTATATTTGTATGTGTGTGTGTGTGTGTGTGTAGAGAGAGAGAGAGAGAAAGAGAGAGAGAGAGAAAGAGAGAGAGAAAATACATAGAGAAATGCTTGCTTGTTGATATCAAGAGACAATGGGAGCATGGAGATGTAAAAGTTACATTAAAATTCTTTATGGGGAGACAGAGCAAAAGAAAGATAAAAGAGAGGATACAGTAGAAAATATTTGCGCATTCCTTATTCCTGTTTTTAATGTTACACCAATACCAGGCCCAAGAGCCACTCGAAGTAGAGAGTTACAGAATAAGAGTAACAGTTTCTGGGGATTTGGAAGATAACGGTTAACCCCAAACTTGAACAAGTTAAGTGATTGAGGAAGCACCCACTTGGAAGTCGGTTCCTCAAAGCAGCAGTTCGTGGGAAAAAGCAGCTCAGGTGTTCCATCCCGGTTACATCTCAACAATGGAATACGAAAGAAAATAAGGGTGGTTCGCTACAATGGGCGTGGCATGGCGCAGGGTAGAACTGGTGGACTGCGACGTTTCAAGGGTATTTGCACGTAAGTGAATTTAACGAACCCAACTGGAACTCGGCCTCAGGTTAGCAATTCCAAGCCATTATCCATTTCGAAACACGCACATCCAAGCTTACAACACCTGGTATTCCTAAGCGGTCACCCATTTTACTGACCAGGTTCGACGTTGCTTAACTTCAGTGATCGTACGGGAACCGGTGTTTCAATGTGATGCAGTCGTAGTGATCGGGGAAGCACCTTTTTGGGAGTAAGTCCCACAAAGCAGCGATACGTGGGAGGAAGCTGCTCGGGTGGAACTTATATTTCACCAACGGAATACGAAGGGAAAGAGGGTGATTCCCCACAATGGGCGTGGCATGACGTGCCCTAGCTGTGAAGGTTAGAACCGGTGGAAGTAAGGAATGTAGTTCGTCTGAACATTTTCCATGGAAATAGCGATAGGACAGCGAAAGGCTTGCAACGTTTCGTCTGCGGGGAAAAGGGTTGTAGGGTGGAAAATAATTCATCACCGGCAAGGACGCGAAGATTCTATTGGACTCTATGAAGACTGGAAAGTGAGGACTACGCAGCTCCTGCCCATATATGGCAGCAGTAATTCATTTTTGCGTTGATCTGGCTCTTGTAAAAGTAGAGAATAGCAGGAGGAGTCAGGTACTTACTGGGGTGGTACAGGAAATTGACCATTTTTTTTCTCAGCATTTTTACAGATTGATCGAACAACCAGTTTCACTTAAGTCCCGATAGACGCTCAAGGTACGGAGCTTCCCTGAGAGAACATCCGTTCATCGCTGTTTACATATGGTCAATCAGTTAAGTGCCATACGTGATACACGTTTCAGCGATCAAGTACCTTTCGATACATGACCGACGCGGAAGATTTTTTTACATAGTAGGTTGGTATTTCTTTCTCCGGTAGACTGGTTGCCAAAACAAGGCTTAAAGAACCCAGTCTGTTCTACTATTCAATCCATAACTGGGGGGGGGAGAAGCAATGGATTCATACCTTTCCCAAGGTCTTTGTGAATTGTGAAAATAGAAGTGAACCTAACGAACTCAACTGGGATTCGAACTCGGCTCTCCGATTTCTCACTCCGAGGCGATATCCATTACACGACAACGTATATCCTATACTAATCAATATTTTTATAATATTTAAATAAAACATACATTATTCACATTATTCGGACTGTCATCTTCATCTTCATTGCCATATTCACAACATTTCGGCCGTTGTACGTTCCGGCCTTCTTCAGGTGATTTGAATATCGAACCGAACCCTTTATTTCGTCCACCTGGGTAGATTGTTCTAGTTCCACGTGCCATGCCTCTTCCGGATGTCTCAGTTATTTCCTTTTAACTCAACTCTCTGAGTTTAGGTTCACCGCTGCTGTGGCCTGGTTTTGAACTCACAACTTTTGGGGTCTAGTCACTGGATCTAACCAACATCTTCCTCCACTGCGCCATGTGTCCTTGAGGACATCTGTATATGAAATTCTGGGACTTATAAACTTAATGTCTCAACAACCGAAGTAATAGCGATCATCACTGGAAAATACAAAAACTCAAGGAATCAGCATATATGCTAGGCCACAAAAATATCCTGAGCAGACCAGACATAGAAATGAATACAATATGGGAACCAGTAATAAGGAGTGCTAGAGAAAAGAAATGAATAACAACAAAAATTGCAATATAAGCTCTGGTAAAAATGAAATAATAATAACAGAAAAATTACAATATGAGCACTGGTAAAAATGGTTGCTGGGACATTAGGTTTATAAGTCCCAAAAATTCATACATAGATGTCCTCAAGGGTACATGGCCCAGTTGATAAAGACGTTGGTTAGATCCAGTGACTAGAGTTCAATTTTGTGAACCAAAACTTGGAGAGAAATAACTGAGATATCCGGAAGAGGCATGGGACGTGGAACTAGAACAATCTACCCAGGTGGATGAAATAAAGGGTTCGGTTCGAAATTCCAATCACCTGAAAAAGGCCGGATTGTTTTTTCGACCCAAATGTTGTAGGGCAATGGACACATGTTTCTGGGCAATTTTTTCACGTTGAATCTGAAAATCAAATCCATTTTTTTCATCACATCATGTTTTTCTCAGTTCAGACAATTTTCATTTTTCTTAAAATTGGCCAAAATACCCATTTAACAATGATATGCCAGGGCCAAGTGGAACCAACCTTAAATGTTTTCAGGTTAGAATAATTTATCATAAAAAAAAAAGTATGCCAATAACTTAAAAAATGCATTTTCAGTTTAGGAAAAGTTTTCAGAAAAATCTCACACAAAATTAAATTGGGGCAAACATGTGTCACCAATTTTTGAAGCAAAACAGATAATATACAAAGGAATGGAAAATACATTCATTTTTGTCCATTCAAAGTTAAATCTTCTTTTCTTGGAAACTCTACGGTGTTTTTGAAAAGGTTGATCTCTTTTGATGATCCAGTAAAAATCAGCCATCATGTTAACATGCCATCTATCTATCTATCTCAGTCTGTTCATTATCTATCTATCTATCTCAGTCTGTTCATATCTATCTATCTTGGTCAATTCTTGTTTATATCTCTCTGTCCATTCATATCTATCTATAAAGATAATTTCTATTTTTCTTAAAATAGGCCAAAATATCCATTTAACTGTGATATGCCAGGGCCAAATAGCACCAACTTTAAACGTTTTATGGTTAGAATAACTTATCATAAAAGAAAACGTATCCCAATAACTTAAAATATGTGTTTTCAGCATTTTCAATTCAGAAAAAGTTTAAAGAAAAATCTCACACAAAATTGTATAAAGGCAAACATGTCATCAATTTTTGAATCAAAACAAAAATACAAAAGAAATGAAAAATACATTCATGTTTGTCTATCCAAAGGTATAAATCTTCTCTTGGAAACTCTATGGTGTTTTTGAAAAGGTTAATCTCTTTCGATACTGCAGCAGAAATCAGCCATCATGTTAACATTCCATCTGCAAAATGTCTAGTTGTCTATGTGGTGTTTGGCAGCTATTTTATGCGCTGATAAAGAAAATTCTAATCTTGCTGGTCTCAAATACACTTGACTAACACCCTAACAACCTTCATTTATCAATGTTCCTAGGCATGTTATAGAGAGACTGTATGACAATGACAGACCTCTGTAAATTCAAGTGATATGATAAAATCTAATGATGGTTTTAGGCTTAAAATGAAATCTACTAATAAAAACTAAAATCGCTGTTCTTGAATGACTTCTAAAGAGCTTCTTCTATGAAAAGTCAAGAAGAAACACAAATCACAAAGTTTTATTAACAAGCTAAGAACATTTTCCGGTGAGATATCATCCATAAAATCAAGTATTTTCAGGTCAGCTTATCTGAACGAACTGAAATACCTTCGAGTTCATTTTGAAAGTTATTTGGATAGTTTTTCTTGAATGATAAACCATTTTAACATGAAACGAAATGTTTTAACTATGTCACTAGCATATTTCGGCCGTAGAATATCCATGTAAATTAGGCATTTTGGCCTATTTTAAGCAAAATAGAAATTATCTGTATTGAGAAAACGTGATGTGATGGGAAAAAGGACTTGATTTTCAGATTCAGCGTAAAAAAATAGCCTCGAAACATGTGGCCATTGCCCAACAAGATTTAGGTCGAAAAAAAAATGACGGCCGATATAATAAAACCCATTAATTTCTTTAGAATTATGTTGTCTTCAATACAAAGTTATTTTACTAAAAAAAAAAAAAATAGCAAATAAACTTCATTAAACTATTATTTTAACTTGGGCAATGTTAATAATGTTAATGTTGGAAAACCAAAAAAGGTAAAATTTACTCAATGGCACCTTTCAAAAAGTGTCGAAAGAATGACTTGGTCTCATCTACACTAACGTCTTGCAATTTTTTTTCTTCTCTGTTCAAAGAATAACAATATTCTTACCTGTCAAGATAATTGCAAAAAACACGGAAAGGACCTTCATGACAAGAATGAGAGAAATGTCATGTGAGAAGGACAACAAATAAATAGCGTCATCTTGTCGTCCACCTGTCATGGGAGCTCACAGGTGCTTGTCTTTATTTTAATTTATTTTTATTTTTTTTTATTTTATTTGTTTTATTTCTTCTGCAGAGATGCGTTCATTTGGTAACGAAAGATTCATAGCATTTTGTCAATGTTACGCTTTCACGACCAATAAATTTCACGCCTTTTGTTTATTAAACTAGTTGACTCGTCACGTCAGAAATGAAAGCAATTCTGCAATTGTACTTAAATTGGCTAGTGTTAAGTGAACTTCAAAGACAATATTTAGATATTTCTACAAAGATTTATTCAACTACGTATGTTCCATTTTGTTTCGCTAACTTTCACCGCCTTGAGGCAGCTTCAGGATTGCTTCCTCTCATAATTTTACATCGTTCTAGGTGATGAATTAGTCTGTGTGTTTTTTTTTTCAGGCTTGTAGAGAATAGATCTTCCCATTAAGAAAATTTTATAGGTAAGTCGAAAATGCAAGGTCAGGTGAGTTTAGTAGAACATCTCAACCAAGCAATACCAATTTACTCTACTAACACAGACACAAATACTCAAGGACAAACACATACTCACACGCACATACTCATACACACATAATCACACGCATATACTCGCACACAGACACACACATATTCATTCCCAATATAATATATATAACAAAAACATATGCTTCTCACTCACACACACTTATACTCCCATACAAACATATTCACACATACTCACACACACACACACATTCACGCCCAAGCACATACTCACCCCAAATATAATATATATATATAATTCACATACACACACGCGCGCGCACACACACACACACACACACATATATATATATATATATATATATATATATATATATATATATATATAATATATAAGTAAATGGTTTGTCACTTAGCTGATTGATCAGCATCCCGACTCCAGAGTTTCGTAGATAGACCCTCCGGGAATTACACCGTCCACTCGTCAGGGGATATATACACAAGCATGTTTGACATCTGATACGGCGTTATTATCGGAATTTGTGGTTGAAATATTCGCAGTATAATGTTCGATTAAATTCTTAATGAATTGTGTGCATTGCCAAGGAAAGATATTATGTTGAAAAATATTTTTTTCCCTTAAAGAAATATTTTTTTCGTCATTTATTTATTTGATATTTAATAT